ACTGGGTTGTCACTACTAGATACCTTGCCGAATATGCCTTCACTCGTATTCAACTATTTAATTTGCTAATGTTCAAGCCTGTTTTATTTTTCTTCAGCGTAATAAAGTAATGCATATAACTAAATTGTTTCTTCACAACTACGTTGATTTCAATAATTAACCTAAAAATTGTTAATATAATATTTTCACTTATTCATGGAATACCCCATATACAGTCATATTCACTACATCGTCGCTTAAAGTACAAAACCGCGTATCGACAAAATGCCAAAACGGCGTATGTGAGGTTGCATAAATTAATTTTTAGAGAGTAAAAGCACTCATATTTCAAAATGGTTCTCTTTTTTTTATAAAGCAATCGCATTTCTGGCTAGTATATTTTAGAATGAATGGATAAGGATTGAGCCGAGAGCTTGCGTGAGCAAATCCAATTTTTTGGCAGCAAATGTCAGTTAGGCGGTTTTGCAGAATGACGATACGCGGTTTTGTACTTTAAACGACGATATGTACATATGTGTGTATGTATGTAGTTATGTCCATTGTGCACATATGACTTTTTGTAGCTGTGCACACAATATTTGCAAAATACTTTTGTTTTTATTGTTATTGTATGTTTTTTTTTTTGTTTGAAGTGCTGCGGCAACAACAAAACCTATTTGCCATCTCATCTTGTGAGTTGAAAGTTTTGCCAGATTACTGCAAAAAGTATCTCACTTAGACTCTGCTTTTTCTATGCTCTTTTGAATTTAGTTTTGTTGTTTCATTTGTCGTTCTTGTTGTTGCTTTGTTTTCCTAAGACGCCATGCCAACGCTTGAGTGGTTGCATCATACATGTAATTATTCTGTTTATAATTTCCAGTTGACACTTAATTTCGTTTCGTTTCTCGTCGGAGGTGGTGCAACTGAGCCAGAAATGCGACAACTTTTCTCAATTGCATTGTTGCTTCCTATGGATTTTGTATATATGTATGTATGTACATATTATATGTATGTACATATGTATTTCGTGGGCAATGAGAATGAATGAAAATATAATGAAAACTAAACATTTTTAAATACAGAAATTCCTAAAAGCTCAAATTATTCTTTGAGAACTAAAGTCCATTCCTTTATCCAAAAACTGTAGAATAAGTGTGCAAGTTTTCCAACTTCATTCTGTACCCTTGTCTCATGGTTGCTAAACGCATAAATATTTTTCTCCTCTTTTGTGAAAACCAAATAAGGAAAACATGATTGCCTATAATGAGTGCTACGAGTACTTTTCGAGGATTTTGGCCGTAGAGTAGGCTCCAAAGTAAAAGAGACAGTACAAAATACATTTTTACCATACACGGTGAATAACTGAGGGAGAGCGGGAGACCAGGTTTAAAGGCGACCATATATTAATTGGGGGACTCCATTGGAGGAGTCGTGCTCTAGCTGCCGTAGGCTGCTGTGCAATGAGCTGGGATTTATTTGGGGGGACTCCATTGGAGGAGTCATGCTCTAGCTGCCGTAGGCTGCTGTGGAA